TCAATAACAAAGTGGAAAATCAAAATATTTCAATTTTTCCAACGGGAATCTTTTTTGAAGGCTTTTAAGATAAGCTTCAAGGAGTGTACAAAATTTGAGGTTTTCAGTTTAAAAATCATCAGGGTTTTTATGTAAATTTAAAACTTGTAAAAATTAGTTAATCAACTGAAATGAATCGAATAAAATAATCAAGGCAAAAAAATTTTCTCATGGATTCTCGTTAATTCAAGTGTCTAGAAGGTATGTGAATTTTTTTCTCTAATAATATATTCAATGGGATGAAATAATTTTAATTGTTCGAAGGTACGTATGGGTCAGCACGTGCGGGACGCGAATGGCCTGCTTTTAGCGCTATTTTCGCCTCTTGATTAAAATTATAAATATTGGTTATAGAGTTCCAGAAGGCGGAACTTTTTTCTAGTAAATTTCTCCCTGTAAGGATCTTTTTTCAAATTTCAGATATCTTCAATATTATCCGAGATATTTGCAAAAAAAACCAAACTCCTTTTTTTCTTACCAAATTATTCATAACTTTTGTAATTTTTTCGGGCCCCTCTTGAAATATTTCAAAAAGTTGCTAGAGGTCATTCCGTATCGAATGAGCCTGGGATCATAATTTTTGGTGCCCTTGGAATTCCAAAAAAAGGATCTTGTGACTAATACTGACTCAATCATTCCTGTTATTATTAGTATCATCATATGACACAATTTTTCACTACTATGACATTTATTCTTCACAAAACTTTGACTTACCTACAACTGGTGCTCTGAACTTAGCTCCGAAAAAATACATCAACGGATGCAACGACTGTACCAAAATCACGTCAAAGTGATATTCGTCATATGTCAAAAGCTTTAGGACATTTTCGTGTAGAATTTCTGCCTCTGTCAATTCCATTGCAATATCGTGAACGTAGATAACTCTGGATAGGGCTGATTTACCTTTCCCCATATTACCGGCAAAGTTTTTTTCAGCTACTATATCGAAGGTGAAGCCGACGTCGATTTCTGTGAGGTTTATCAAGCTCGGATCATTCCACGGATTCGGCGTGATCACTGTGACTTCGTGTCCTCGAAGAGACAGCTCTCTCCAGAGGGCTCTAAAAATGCTCTGATGACTCACAGAGGGATATGAAAAAAAACCTAGAATCCTAGCGGACTCTCCGTACACTAAGCAAAGAAGGAAATACAGCCACAATGAGGACATCGCGAGGCGTAAGAAGAGACTGCCTTTGGAAGTCCTCATAATGCGATTACAACTTTATCATTGTTGTGATGATTACACGTGTTTCAGATTAAAATATAAAGAACTGCAAATAAACTTTTCAGACTTTTCAGTACAGAGTGGTGTAATGAAATAATCGTAAACAAATTATTATATGTTGTGTGTGGCCGATTGTTTTAGAAGTGTTTTCTCAAGAAACTCTCAAGGATAGACAATCTTCCGAAGGTAACAGAAAGTTTTGATAGCTATCGAGACACTGTCTAGTATTCTAGCTATCGAAATCAACGATATTATTGGCAATTATGAATTGAATATATGGGCTACCTGATACATTAGAAATCAAGCGGTTATGCAAAAAAACGTTTTCAACCATAGAAAAATTTCAAAATAGTAGAACGCATAGTTACCAGTGAGGATGACAGTATTCCATGTGAGTGCAATTTGTTACCATTCATTAAAAGTAGAACTCATCTAAAGTAGAACGAATCTTTGAAATACAAACTGAGTAGAGAAAAGTATCTTCTGTATAATTCAGTGTTCATATAGAAGTATTCGTTTCGAAATATTTTTTTTCTTTCGTGTAATTCAATGTTGATATGGAAGTAGCTGTTTCAGGAGGACTTTCTTCCAGTTTGTTTCTGAAAGTTACTTCTTTGCATGATCTACACATCCATGTATAGAGTAATTTATTTTCAAATTGATTACTTCCTTCCTTTCTTTGGATTCCTTCATCCTTTTTTTGTATCAATATGGAGTAGTAGAAAGCCAAAAACATCTTTCCCAAAAATTATTGACTCTTAAAAATATAACTCCTTCAATTCAAGCATAGTTAACGCTTTTAAAGTCACCTGAGGATCTGTCTCTTGCAGTGGCGTACGGAAATAATACTGAAGAGATGAGGAAAAATTATGATAAAATATATAGAATCACAACTTTGAAAATGTTTTCATTTTAATGCAATACTATTTTTGAGAAGGCAGTGCCTGCTATTATGGACTTGTACCATAAATATCATAGTTTCTAGAAAAAATATTCAAAACTCATTTCCCTTTATTTCAGTAAAAAAATTCAAGTGCTCTCACTTCCTGACAAAAATTAAAATCTACATTTTAAAATGTTTTTGGGGTTAAATCGTTGAAAGCATCTCTTTTTCTGTCTACGAATTCTGAAATGAATTGCAGTTAAATCGTACACTTCAGAAACTACGTTTTTTCTCAAAAAGAGTTAGAGGCGTCATATCCGATGATCTAGTCGGCTCTTCTATGGAATTACGATTTCCTATCTATCGGTTTGGAAAATTGTCAAATCCGAATGAGTTTTCAACAAGTTTTAGCAAGATAAACATTCAACTAGTTTTAGCAAGATGAAAATTATCTATACCAAATCATAGGTGAACATGGTGGAATGACCCCCTGCATTACCTGATATGACACCCTTATATTCTTGTGAGGATTTTTTTGGACTAATCACAAGCACTATAGGAAAATCCTTGAGGCGCTCTCAGAGGGGTGCCTGCTAAAAAGTGGCGATTCACATTGGATTTGAGTCACTGGAGAATAAATCCATTTGGAAAAACGGAAGTTCATTCCACAGAAATGCAGTTCTCCAGATGAAAGAGTTCTCAAACAGTGAACAGTGAATCTCAAAACGATGGGCAACCACAGTCCGTCGCGTATTTTTGATATGTACTGCTCTTGCTGGAATGAAATGTGTTAAGTCACTTGAATACTTCCCGTGAAAGTTTCTATAGAAGAGAGACAGATCTCCAACCTTTCTCCGATGTTCCTGTCTACCAAGGTTGCACGTGATGTTCGAGTCTCCAATCAAGCGGATGGCTCTTTGCTGGATAGAATCCGGCAACTTCAGGGTATGTTTGGGGGCAGAGCTCCATACATGAAAACAATACTCCAAAGAAGGTCTAGTCTCAGTTTTATAAAGCATCAAAAATTACTGAGGCGTGTACATAGTTTTCTGGTTCGGAACAGTGTTTCAAGCTTTTGAGAAGCAGCCTTTGCAATTTCAGCAACATGATTGTGTCATATTAACCCCCAACAAACTCAACGAAGCAGAAGGCGGAATTGTCTGACCTCACATTATAATATCCGGTTCGGAGACATTTATCTTCTTGGAGAAAACCGATGCCTGGGTTTTTGAGGCATTGAATTGAACCTGGTTTCTTTCACCCCGATTCGAAATCACTTCTAGATCCTCATTGAGATATGCATCCTCCTGCTGCCAGTGAAGATGTGCCTCCGTAGCCGATGTCCTGGAATCCAAATGGAATGACGAGACAAGTGTGCTGTCGACAGCAAAGCAATGTATTGGATTCTTGTTTTTTTTTTCAAGTCGTTAATATACAATAAACAGAGGGTTGGAGACAAAATGGGTCCCTGAGGAACACCAGCGTTGCTGGTGAAAGTATTCGAGAGATATCCATCGACGGCTACTTGCAGGAAACGTTCTTTCAGGAAGCTGGAGAGTCATAAATAAAAATGATTCGACAAGCCATAGTATCGAAATTTGGCCAGTAAACCCTCATGCCACACACGGTCAAAGACCTTAAAAATATCAAGCGCAACAGCTCTTGATTTTTCATGTTTCCCGATTCCAAATATGGGTGAGATGAGATAGAAGGTCGCCGGTTGATCTTTGTTTCCGAAAGCCATATTGATGACCGCTCAAGATGTTGAAGACTTCAAAATATTTGAGGACTTCCTCCTTGATCTTTGATATCACTTATAGTAAAGCGACTGATCTATAGTTATTTGGAAGATTTTTCTTGTCCTTTTTGTGAATAGGCTGAACGCGAGAAATCTTCCAACAAGAAGGAGAAACCCCTTCCTTGTAAGACAGGTTGAGAAGTCTGCAAAATACTGGTGCGAGTTCATTTAGGCACTTTTAGTACGATGACGGGCACTTCATCAGGGCAAGGCGTCTTGTTGACATTGAGATATTTCAAAATTCGCCTGACTAGACGCTGTAGAAAATTAATTTCCGGCATTGTGAATTCTAGTGTGGGGAATAGTGGGTAGTGCCTTTCCCAGAAAATAGAATGTGGATTGGGATGCAAATTGTTAACCTAGTAGAATTGGCTGTTGTTGCAAATGAACCATCCGCTTGTGTAAGTTGTGGAATTGTGGATTTTGTAAACTTCTAATCAACAGCTATAACTACCGACCAGAAGGATCTAGACCCGTTGGGATTGGCAAGCAGTTTATCCGCAATACTCTGATCCCACCCTTAAAACCGGAAACAGCGGCACAGCAACGATACGTTAGCACGAAAGCAACTTCACGCTGCCTAGGCCGTTGAATGGTATCTCACCCGGCGATGCCGGGTGGGACCAGAATCTACCATGTAATGCATTTAACTGGATTTTCATTTCAACACCTTAACACGTGTTTCAATCACCCAGTGATCATCTTCAAGAGAAATAATAAACTTCCCCTTGAAGATGACCACATGTTGATAGAAACACGTGTCAAGGTTTTTGAAATAACGATTTTTTGTTGAAATAAATGTAAGATTCATTCAAGTTGACTTGAAAACATTTCCTTGAGATCAGTACATTCCTTGCACTAATTTGCAAGTTTTATCTACTAGAATTAAACGATAATCTGAGCACAAAGCCTCTTATAAAACGTCCGAGTTGTGAAGAGAACCGAACTTAATTGTTTCACCGACATGACACAGATAATCTAACAAAAAAGTTTTCGAACTTTGACAACATGGGTCAGTTCTTTATATACGAATGATAATAACTCGGGAACGGCTGATCCGATTTTTGGGATAGAGAATTGAAATACTCATCAAACGCTCCACCAGAGTATCTCCTTATCTTTTTTCTTTTTGAAAACAAGTTGGCTAACCTTTGGCTAACTATAACAACATCTGGTTTTAACATAATGGTGCTCCACCGCACACTACCAATGAGTATCTATTTACCTGACTGAAAGGTTTGGTGATAAATGGAGAGGGAATAATAGGCCGGTGAGGTAGTAAGCAAGGTCCCCAGACTCAAGTGTTATGGATACATTTTTATGGGGTACACTGAAAAATGAAGTTTCTGATTCTGTCTTTTTTTTTATTGGCTTTTCAAATGAACCAAACTCGGTGAGATTTTGATCCAATAACTTGAACATAGTTCGATGTGGTTTTCGTCTTTCGTGATACAAGTTTAAATACATTTCCGATGTCCTAACACTGTTTCTATCGTATTTGTAATAAATTTGTATCATATCTCTCTTTTCTTCATTCGTGAAAGCCATTTTTTGCCAAAAATCCAATGACTTATACAATAACAAAATATCACTGAGTGTAACAAATTAAAAGTCAAATTCAGAAATATCAAAGTTAAAGCCTATTATGATAAGAATTAATTTTTTCAATATCTCTAACTTTTCGAAAAAGAATGAAAACTTATGATACATCATTGAGAAGGTGGAATCTAGTTCTATTCAAAACAAAAAGAATCCAATCTAGCGCCCATAAGAAAAAATGGAGTTGATGATTGGTGGCCGGAAGACAAAACATCGGATAGCAAATCTGAAAACACCATTTTATAGGAGGGAAAAAGTTGCAATGTAGAAGTTCCGGTTTTTTCTCGGAATTTCAGAACTTTCTCAACGGCAAATTGTTAGTCAGGTAAATGCGCAACTTTGCCCACATTTAACTATCTTCCTATCTCTCATAGTTTCTGAGATCCTAATGGTGAGGATCGTATTTGAAGCACCCTGTATAATACTGTTCAGCTCCAAAAGGTGAATATTGTTCAATCACTGAAAAATTTTGAAGTATTTCAGCAGGTAACTGTTAAACCGTTTCAACTTACCCACCTGGTCAGTTGAAACGAAGTAAGTTGATAAATATCTGGAAGAAGCATGATTTACACAATCTTATAAATTATAAATAACCTAAAACCGTTATTTCCAACTCCTTTCATCTTCAGGAGAAAGATTAAGGTGTTAAAAATAACGGTTTGGTATCGAGATGAAACTCTAGTAATATTCACAATCATCAAT